ATTAGGAATGTCCTGAATTTATAGATCAGTTTGGCAGATAGTAAATCCTTATGATGTTGAGCCTTGCCATTAAGACCATGCTATATTTCTCCAACAAGTAACCACGATGTTGTATCTTTTAATAAAGATTTACAATTTTTTTCATATAGGCCTTACACATTTTAGGGGTTTATTTCTGGATTTTTAAATGGGAATAAATTTGAAATTTGATCATTTTCAATTTCCTAGAAAGTCACTTTTTCAAATACACTAGCTTGACTTGTACATAATATCCTGCTTTTCTGCAGTGATGTCAGTTTCTCATTTCTAATATTATGTTTTTCTGCTATTGGGTTTGCTACAAGTTTGACTTTTTCACTTTTTTTTTTTTTTTTTTTTTTTTTTTTTTAAAGATTTTATTTTTTTCCTTTTTCTCCCCAAAGCCCCCCGGTACGTAGTTGTGTATTCTTTGTTGTGGGTTCCTCTAGTTGTGGCATGTGGGACGCTGCCTCAGCGTGGTCTGACGAGCAGTGCCATGTCCGCGCCCAGGATTCGAACCGACGAAACACTGGGCCGCCTGCAGCGGAGCGCGCGAACTTAACCACTCGGCCACGGGGCCAGCCCCGACTTTTTCACTTTTTTAAAAAATCAAGTTGGTTTTTTTGTTTACTAGTTTATTAATTCTACTTATCTTTTTTGTTTTCTTCCTTCTTTGGATTTCTTTTCTTGTTGCTATTCACTTTTCAGCTTCTTTCTTATTTTGTAACATCTATGCGTAGTACTATACATTTTCCTCAAGCTCTGCTTTGGCCGCTCCCACATGGTTTATGCTTTGGACACTCCAACATGGATTGCCTGTCTCTGCATCTCCTTCTCCTACAAGGTCTTCCTTACATCTACCCCCTTTCATCAGCACCTGCCACATCTGGAATTGTTCACAGTTTACCACCAAGAAAACCACTGACATACTGAAGCCTGATCACATTGGGTTACCCTGGGCTCCCAGAGTCACTTTCTTCTGTCCACCTCCCTCCTCCCTTTGCTAATTCTCTGCTTCCTGAAAGGTGGCCACCATATTGTTACTGCTCTTTGTGAGTCATTGAGACACTTTTTGCCTCCATCCTGAGAAAAGCTGGATCCTCATATTTTTCTAAATGGATCATCCATAAGAAACAAACCGCTGTCCTACTAATATTGACCACCTATTCTACATATCATTAATGCTTCATTGTGCTATGCATATAAGGAGACACACAACCATGCTTCTGAGGGCAGTCAAAAATTTGATGGATATCCCAACGTCCTTTTACAATGGAGAACTTTTCTGAACCCTGGTTGAGATTTTCCTACCCATTAAAAGTATTAATTTACTCCTTTCTCCTCAACACAGTGTCCATCCTCGACACATCTACCGAATCTCCCATAGCCCAGAAATCTGACGACCCATACTAAGGTCTACCTGAGGACGGACTCCCCCTGCTTGGGGGAAATAGAAGCTGGACCTCCACTGTACCCCAGATGGAGTCTTACGATATTTCCCCTCCTCCGGATCACTATTTGTTCCTCACCAGCACCCTGATGATGTCCTGGGGATGGAGCAACTCTACCCTTTACCCTAGTTTTCCAATGTGTAAGAAGGAATTGTGATGGTCATTAACTGATCATTCTTTTTAAAGAGTGAAATCATGATTGTCATAAAATGAACATATGTCAAAAGTTTTATTATTTAACTCATTAGTTTACGAGGAAGCCAGTAAGATATCACAACCAGTTCAAAGGAGAAATCAAAGAGCAGACATAAATGAGAGGCCCCAAGAGTGCTAAAGTGAACTTGCTTAATAGATGTAAAACGTGCTTCTTCTGAAGGTGAAGGTGTGAGCAGATCAACTGCCCCTCCACCAGACAAAATTTATTTGCATGCCCATGGACAAGGATCATTTTTATTGCTATCAGTTATCTACAATTTACAGAGCTGTAAAATAGCTCAAAGACAATGAAACTATAGACATAATCTGGAAAAGTGTGCTATACCCGACGTCCGGTAATCTGCTTTGCTCATTTCAAAGGCATTCACAATTTTTCTGATGCCCTTACCTTAACAGCTGCTGTCCCAGCTTTCCTTTGCAAACTGTTAGGGGTCCCCTTCTGATGTTCTGGTAGTTTGTGATGACCTGGGATTCCCATGTAAGACATATTTTGGGCTCCTCACAACCCAGGTATCATATGGCCTTCTGTTGTGTCAAGCTTCCATGGATAACTCAGCATCTCACCGCTTCACGCCTCTGTGCCTTTCCTCATGCTGTTCTTTTGAATTACAATGCCCTTCCCTGACTCCAGGTCATCCTCCTCTTCTCTGACATGCTCACCGAGACCACAACCACGCCCCATCCACCAAGGAAAATAGTTCTCTCAATCAGAGTGCACACTCCTCCGTTAGAGAATACGCACACTCCCGGTCCACAGTTGGTGTTTTTAGGTTCGTATCGCTGGCTAGACTTAGTCTTCTCATGGGCAGGCATTATTTCACGGACCTTAAAGTTCGCAGCATACAGCACAGAGCCTCGTGTGAGGAGGTGCTCAATAAATGTTGAGAACCTAAATTCATAAAACACAAATGTTGAACTCGAGGATCTCATTCTGGGGCTCTTTTCACTACATCTCGATCACTTCAAGAGAGAAAAAACAGCAAAAACAAAAAAGCCAGAAAAACAAGACAGGACATTTCAAAAGCTAGCATTCAGGGAATGCTGTGTACCGCTCAGCGTCTCCCTGAACGACAGTGGTTAGGACACAAATCTCCACGCTGGGACCAGCAGTGTGCTGGAGCTGTGCCCTTCCCAGCTCCACGTTTGGGGATTCCTTGCGGGCAGCTTGGAGTCAGACACAGTGAGAGTATTTACACCGTGGCAATTGGCAAATGGTGCAAAGTTTGGAGGGAGGTGGGTTTTGTGTTGTTGTTCCCCATTTTGAACTGTACAATTCACTGATCTTTAGTGTATTCACTACATTATGCGACTATCACTACTATCAAACTTCAGAACATTCTCATCACCCCGAAAAGAAGCCCACATCCATTAGCAGTCACTCCCCATACCCCCTCCCTCCGCCCCTGGCAATATTTCCTGTTTTTTCAGAGCTGGTTGTTAAACACTTACAACACCCCACTGCTGGGAACCCATCTGTTTCTATAATAACAGTTACTTTTCTCCTCTCACTTAACACTTGGATTTTTCAAGTACTTTGAGGCCTCCTAAACCCCAAGGTTTATATCACAAAGATTTATATATCCTTAAAAAGAAGTTATTTTAGCTCTTGCTAAAGTCAATTTCTCCATCACACAATGAGATGAAAAATAGTCGTGCATAGAAAGAAGGTTAGGAACTGATAAATCTTTTAAAGGGCTAGATCACTTTCTGCTGGATTAGTATGTGGGATTTACTTTTGCGTGAGACAATGGGCTCCTGTCTATTTCTAGATTAGATAATGCATTTCCTAGGACCCACAGGAGGCCTTGGCTTCTCTTATTACTGAGCACTCATGCAGAGACTAGAGATTTTGTGAAAAGGAAAAAGAAAAAGACAAAGGGAAATGATTGGTGGTGGGCTCTTTTGATCACTAATGCAACCCCATCAGGAAAGATGAAATGTAATGCCCAAGAACTTCCTAAAAGAAGTTCACCACAAAGGCACACAAATGCACATGTATCAGAAGATGTATGTGTGTGCACACATTCATGTGAGTGCACTTGCACTATGAGATCATTTGTTGATGTCCTAATGACCCCTAACCACAGAACAGTCTCCCCAGATGTGGGCTCCCAGACGCCAGATGTATGTTACTCGCCTAATTAATGCCTGCGGAATCAACTTGTTTCTAAATCTTTTATATTTCCTGGTAGGGAATGCTGGACTGTCCCTAAGAGAGGAACTCTAAGCCTTGTTACTCAGTGTTTGGCCCATGGACCAGCAGCATCAGCATTACCTGGGAGCTTGTTGGAAATGCAGAGCCTCAGGCCCCACCCAGACCTATTGAATTCACTTTGTATTTTATCGACGTCTCTAGTTGGTTCAGGCGCACATGAATGTTGGGAAGCACTGGACTAAAACCTCTGGACGATCCTTTAATTGACATCTGTTCTCCCCGCACTTTTTTGAGTTCTTATGGAGGGAGAATTCCCTGAGGCTAACTTAGAATTCACGCAAATGATCCCAACCAGAGTTTAGATGTCTTGGGAATCCCCATCCCACCTCAAGCTTTCATTCTGGAGTAAAAACAAAAGAGACTAATTCTCTACCCAGGTTAGAACCCTACCGACAGCAGAAAGGCCAATGGCCCATCTTCACAAATCATGGAAAGTTTTACTTAAAGTGATGCTTTTCTATTATAAAAATAATTCATGCTCATTACAGAAAATCTAGAGAACTATGGAGAAGAAAAGTAAAATTGTCTGACTTTCCACCACTGAGGGTTAAACACAATATTTTGGTGTGTGTGTGTATATATATATTTTTTTACATGTGGGGTTTACGTGATCTGTTTCCAATTGAATTCGTTATTTTACGTAATTGGGAGGATAAAATATATAGAATTTGTATTCTATTTTTTCACGATTATTTTCATACCCCTGAAAATTCTTTAAGAACATGATTTTAGTGACTTTATATTCTTATGTGATTAAACCATATTTTACTGAAATAGTCTTTTAAATTTTTTTAACCCTTATAAATGACGTTGTGATTAACATCCTTATGTATAAATCTTTTTCAGACTTTCTGATTATTTCTTCTGTAGGGATTTTCAGAAGTACACTTGCTGGGTCAACCCGTGTGAACTTTACAGGTTATTGACACATAATGCAAAATTGCTTTCCCAAGAGCTTATGCTAATTCAGGCTCCCAGCAGGTGGGCCACACCCTCACCAGCCCTTTCAACTCTCCAGTTTCTTGGGTGACAATTACTATTGCATTGTTTTTAATTTGTATTTCTTCGATAACCAGCATGGTTGAGGACTTTTCCATTTGTTTATCACTACACTTTTATTTCTTCTGTGAATCCCCTACGCTCACTCCTAGCTCTGGGTCTGTTTCATTGTTGGGTGTACTACCACCAGCGGTCCCTATATGCCAACGCCGTCCCTCTGTGTGTGATCATCTTCCAATGCAGAAGCTCTAACACCTTCATGAACTAGCTTTGGAAGTCACACACTATTATTTCCACCGTATTCCACGTATTCCATTGGCCACACACACCAGCCCTGATTCAACATGGAAGGGGACAGCAGAAGCACATGAAAACTAAAAGGCAATGATTGTGAGCCATTTCAGGGGAACCCCAGTCCATGAGTACTCTGTCCTCTTTTCACAGGACTTTGGAAGCCTGTCCACACTGGCCACAATTTTTCAGCCTCTGTTCTCTCAGGCAGAGTTCCTATTTTCAAGCAACTGAAGTTGACTCCAAGTATTCAGAAGAGGAATTTATTAAACAGGTCGCTGGAGGGCTAAGGAGACCCAGGGAGGCTAAAGTTACATCTTCAGGAACAATGCCCGAATCCAGGCCACAGAACCGACATGATGAGACAATTCCCATCTCTGTGGCTGCTGTTACTGCTGTGCACTGAGCACCACAGGGAACCCCCACCATCACTGCCACACCCCAACAATGGCATTCTTTTTTTCCCGTTTGAGTCAGGACTGCAATCTCACAACCACTGCTCCTCAAAAAGCCAAAACCTCTGCTGCCACCCACTCAAGAAAGTAATAAAGGATTCCACAGAAGGTCTTTTTCCCAAGTTGTTCCTTTCTGAACCGATGTTTAATATGAGTATGTCTGCTCAGTGCTGCTCGGATCACGTTCTTGCATCCCAGCTGCAGGAAATGGGAATGTCCATTTTCTGGTTCTGCTTTGGTGGGACAAGATGCAAAAGGCTAGAAATATCCCGAATATTTTAAGGGTTTCAAAAAGAGTAGGACACCTAAAAAGGATAACAACTTGTCCACAATACCCGTTCCCTTTTTAATCCTTACAATTTGGCTTTTGTCTTGCTATTCTACCAAACTTGTTTCTCAGTGGTCCTCAGTGATGTTCAGTGGGCTTCCCACCCTTGATCAGTCCTGCACACAGTTGGTGAAATTAAAGCAGCCCTTGGCCGGAATGTTAGGGCAGGTTCCCCAGAAGTGGGTCCTGTGACAAGAATTCATTTCCAAGTAATTTATTAAGCGAGTTTCTACAGAGGAGCCTGGTTAGAAGAGGAAAGAGGAAGGAGCCAAGTAGAGGAGCAATTTCCAGCAAAGTCTCAGGGAGTAGGTTCAGCCTGATCCTCAGGGGACTCTGGAGAGTAAGTGGTGCCTCAGAGCCGTCCTGACCTCAGGCCAGAGAGCTCTCATAATCTACTGTGAAGGGGCCAGGGAGAGAGAGCAACTCAGAGGAGCTTCTAGCTCTGATCTTGCAGGTACTGTGGCTACAGTAGCCGGAAGGAAGCCCTCTGAAAGGAAAACCAGAAAGGATCACTGGAGATCAAAGCATGCAGATCCCTTTGAGAGAAAGGTGCACAGATGTGGCGAAAGGGAGCCAAGGGTTTCTGGGCCAAGGACCAACAGAGCCCAGTAGAATCAGGGATTTAGAACTGAGTTTCAAAATACACCTCCCCATAGGTACTGCTCCAACCTGGGTGCAGAGCCTTGCCACCTGGGTTCCTGTTCCCAACCAGCCACCAGTAAGCCATGCTTCTCACTAACCCCCTGAATCTACCTCAACCTTCCTCCGAACTTACTGTCGGCTTAGCCCAAATATCCCTAACTTTTCTTGCCTTCATAGCATGACTTTTCCTATGCCCAGAATCCTCTCCCTTTGATTTTGTCTACTATAAAGCTCCTCCCTGAGAGCCAGTTCAAACACTGCCTACAACAGGAAATCTTCCCTGGTCCCCCAGCACTCAAGGACAGCTCTCCCCTGAACCATGATGAGACGCTATTAGCTCTTTCAGGAGACATATCACATACTGTAGGTATTTATGTCCATGACTTATCTTCCCCGAGGAATTTTAGGATGAAGACTGCTTCTTATAAAATATGTTTACTGCACAGCTTCTTATTAATGTATTCACTTACATGTGTTTATTAAAAGAATCCTGCTTTTAAGTTCATGAAATATCTAAAATATTTTAAAATAGAGCATTCCAATCCAAGAGCATGGAATATCTTTCCACTTCTTTGTGTCTTCTTCAATTTCTTTCAGTAATGTTTCATAGTTTTTGGTGTACAGATCTTTCCCCTCTTTGGTGAAGTTTATTCTAGATATCTTATTCTTTTTGTCCCAATTGTAAATGGGATTATATTCTTAATTTCTCTTTCTGTTACTTTGTGGTTAGTATATAAAAACGGAACTGATTTTTGTATGTTGATTTTGTATCCTGTGACTTGACTGTATTCATTTAATAGTTCTAGAAGTTCTTTAGTGGATTCTTTAGGGTTTTCTATATATAAAATCATGTCATCTGCAAATTGTGACAGTTTCACTTCTTCCTTTCCAATTTGGATGCCTTTTATTTCTTTTTCTTGCCTTATTACTCTGGCTAGGACTTCCAATACTCTGTTAAATAAGAGTGGTGACAGTGGGCATCCTTGTCTGTTCCTGTCCTTAGAGGGATAGCTTTCAGTTTTTCTCCATTAAGCGGGATGTTAGCTGTGGGTTTGTCATATATGGCCTTTATTATGTTGTGGTACTTTCCTTCTATTCCCATTTTATTCAGGTTTTTCTCATAAATAGATGCTGTATCTTGTCAAATGCTTTCTCTGCATCTATTGAGATGATCATGTGATCTTTATTCTTCATTTTGTTAATGTGGTGTATCACATTGATTGATTTGCAGATGTTGAACCATCCCTGCATCTCTGGAATGAAACCCACTTGATCATGGTGTGTGATCTTTTCAACGTATTGTTGTATTCAGTTCACTAGGATTTTGTTGAAGATTTTTGCACCAATGTTCATCAGTGATATTGGCCTAATTTTGTTTTTTTTGTGTTGTCCTTGTCTGGTTTTGGTATCAGGGTAATGTTGGCTTCGTAGAAAGAGTTAGGAAGCTTCCTCTCCTCTTCAATTTTTTGGAAGAGTTTGAGAAGGAGAGGTATTAAGTCTTCTTTGAATATTTGGTAGAATTCACCAGGGAAGCCAACTGGTCCCAGACTTTTATTTTTTGGTAGGTTTTTGATTACCATTTTGATCTCCTTACTGGTGTCCATACTTCCTAAGGCAATCTACAGATTCAACGCAACCCCTGTAAAAGTCCCAACAACATTTCTCACAGAGATAGAACAAAGAATCCTAAAATGTACATGGAACAACAAAAGATCCTGAATAGCCAAAGGAATCCTGAGAAAAAAAAAAGAATAAAGCTGGAGGTATCACACTCCCTGATTTCAAAATATACTACAAAGCTATAAGCAAAACAGCACAGTACTGGCGCAAAAACAGACACACAGATCAATGGAACAGAATCAAGAACCCAGAAGTAAACCCACACACCTAGGGACAGCTAGTTTTCAACATGGAAGCCAAGAGCATACGATGGAGAAGGGAGAGTATCTTCAATAAATGGCATTGGGAAAACTGGACAGCCACATGCAAAAGAATGAAAGTAGACCATTATCTTACACCATGTACAAAAATTAACTCAAAATGGATTAAAGACTTGAACGTAAGACCTCGAACCATCAAACTTCTAGAAGAAAATATAGGCAGTACACTCTTTGACATCAGTCTTATTATCATATTTTCAAGTACCATGTCTGACCAGGCAAGGGAAACAATAGAAAAAATAAACAAATGGGACTACGTCAAACTAAAAACCTTCTGCACAGCAAAGGAAACCATCAACAAAACAAAAAGACAACCTAACAATGGGGAGAACATATTTGCAAACCACATATCTGATGAGGGGTTAATATCCAAAATATACAAAGAACTCATACATCTCAACAATTATAAAACTAACAATCCAATTAAAAAATGGGCAAAAGATCTGAACAGACATTTCTCCAAAGAAGATATACAGATGGCCAACAGGTACACGAAAAGATGTTCAACATCACTAATTATGGGGGAAATGCAAATCAAAACTACAATGAGATATCACCTCACTCCCATCAGAATGGCTATAATTAACAAGACAGGAAATAACAAGTGTTGGAGAGGATGCGGAGAGAAGAGAACCCTCGTATACTGCTGGTGCGAGTGCAAACTGGTGCAGCCACTATGGAAAACAGTGTGGAGATTCCTCAAAAAATTCAGAATAGATCTCCCATATGATCCAGGTATTCCACTGCTGGGTGTTCATACAAAGAACATGCAAACATGAATGTATAAAGATACGTGCACCCCTATGTTCATTGCAGCATTATTCGCAATAGCCAAGACTTGGAAGCAGCCTAGGTGCCCATCAAGGGACGAATGCATGAAGAAGATGTGGTATATATACACAATGGAATACTACTCAGCCATAAGAAAGGATGAAATCTGGCCATTTGTGACGACGTGGATGGACCTTGAGGGTATTATGCTAAGTGAAAAGAGAGAGAAAGTCAAATACCGTATGATCTCACTCGTAAGTAGAAGATAAAAACGATGACAAACACACACAGAGAAACAGAGATGGGATTGGTGCTTATCAGAGGGGAAGAGGGCAAGGAGGATAGAGAAAGAGATAATTAGGCGCACGTGTGTGGTGATGGATGGTCATCAGTCTTTAGGTAGCGAACATAATGTAATCTACACAGGAATCAAAATATACGACCATGTACACCTGAAATTTATATAATGTTATAAACCAATGTTGCTGTAATAAAAAAATAAAATAAAAAAATAGAGCATTCCCTAAAGCAGAATCAATCTATATATTTTTAAAGGAAACACCAATGTATATATTCCTCCTTTGAAAGCAGAGAGGTAATATACTACACTTTCATGTAATTACTCCTAATCTAAAAAGTAAGTGTTGAAAGAAAAAGTTTGGCTCTGGGTCCCCAAACATAAAATTCTGGAAAATTTCCCTGAACCTTATAGATGATTCTCAGTCCTACAAGGCAGGGCTGACGCCTTCTTAGCTGTGGGAGGACAGGCCCTCTCGTGCCATCCTCTACTCAGAATCTCTCAGTAGTTTCCCACTGGCCTTAGACTCAGTCCAGCATTCCCAAGGCCCCCTGACCATGCCCCGTCCACCTTCGCAAGCTCATCTCGCAACACTTTGCCTGCTCACGACGCTCCATCTGCGACAATCTGTTCTTGCTGCTGCTACACACCACGCTTTTCTCTGCTTTAGAGCTGTTGTCCTTGCTGTTCCCTCTGCCTAAGTATCTTCTCCTGGCAGAGGACGTGGCCGGTTGGCTCCTCTGCATCCTTCAAGTCTGTTAGTACACTGTCTTAGGTGGCCCTTTCTCCCCTTTCTCAGGTGGTGACGGTGTCAATTGCATCACTCTGTTTATGTCCTTCGAAGCCTTTATGGCAATCTGAAAATATTATTCACTCCAATGTGATTATCTCGCTTCCCCAGCTAAAATCAAAAGTTGCCCAAAAGAGATGACCTCATGTATATGCTCAGGCCCAACGACTCTTCATTCATTGTAAGTATGCCATTAATAATTGTAAAAGGAATCAATGGAAGAGTTTGCTTTGGCAAAGGAAGATCTTCTTATGCAAGACAGCAAAACACAAAATTATAAAACAAAAGATAAATTTGACTTCCTAAAATTATAAAAGCTTCTGTATGATAAAATATGAGTAAGCCAAGCAAAAAACAAAAGAAAAAAAACCTGGAACATACATAGCAGACCATAGATTATTAATGATGCCCACAAAGTTAGGTGACTGATCTTAAACAAATGAAAGGATTTTACTTTATAAAAAGTAAAAACTGGTCTTGGATTCCAATGAGGCGGGAGTAAGATTATTGTTAATGACAATGAGAAAGTTAATTTGGGGGCCGGCCCAGTGGCACAGCGGTTAAGTGTGCACGTTCCACTTCGGCGGCCCAGGGTTTGCCAGTTCGGATCCCGGGCGAGGACATGGCACCGCTTGGCATGCCATGCTGTGATAGGCGTCCCACATATAAAGTAGAGGAAGATGGGCATGGATGTTAGCTCAGGGCCAGTCTTCCTCAGCAAAAAGAGGAGGATTGGCAGTAGTTAGCGCAGGGCTAATCTTCCACAAAAAAAAAAAACAAAGTTAATTTGCCCCAAATAAACAACGATGATTTATGGTATCACCACTAAATCTCCACTGAACACTGGAATTATTTCCCTGCTCCCCGCTCCCTGACCCAAGGCATTCCTGAACAACTGTGTCCACACAGAAGTTTGCTCATTCCCCTGAGACAGGCACCAATCACACGGTCTTACAGCAGGTCATCTAGGTATCTGTAGGGAGAGTCTCAGGGACCAAATGGCGTCTTGTTAGTCATGGTATCCCAGGGCCAGTGTGCAATGTCACAAAGTAGGTTATAGGGTGGGGAGGAGTGGGCTGGGGGAGGGGCAATAACTACAGGAATACAGCCTTTGAGCAGGTAAGAGGAGATGAAAGCCAAGAGCAAAGTGGAGGTGCTGGTCTTCCTTTACAGTGATTAATGGGAAGTATGGAGAGGTACAGGCACCTGAGGGAGTGTGTGCTTAAGCGTTTCCGTTTCCTCAGTTGAATATCAGGCAAACGAGGAGGGAATATCAAAGACTCGAGGGGAGTGAAGAAGGGGTGAAATAGTCATATTAGTTGGAGGGAACACAAAGGAACTAGGGAAGCGTAATAAGGTTGCAGGGTGGCATTGAAAGCATAACTGAGATTGTGGTCATGAAACTAAAACTAGAACCAGTCAACACAGTTATGCATTATTTTCCGGCAATAATTAGCTGCCCAAGTGAAGGTATAGAGGCAGTAGAGAATTGGGTTCAATCAAGACTTCAAGTTTGCTAGACAAGTAAGCCACTGGCAGAGGATTACAGTGATGGCCCATGGACTCTAAATGAGAATACGATAAAGGGCCTGATAGTGAAACTGTGGTAGGACCAAAGGGTTAGAGTTCTTGTTGAGGTTGAAGAATTGTTTGAGAGGAGGTTCTAGAGAAGGGAGGTGGAAAGATAGGAGATGGTGGTCAGATAATGGGATAAAGAAGCTGATTTTCAGAGATCAAGCGTTTACAAGGATGAAATGTTCATGTTATGGCCATGGCAGTCAGTAGCTTAGGTGAGACAAAGAAAATAATGAAAGCGAAGAAGTAGAGGAATGGCAACTCCAAAGCGCAGGACGGACCACATGGTTATGGAAATCTTCAAGAAAGGAGTGCAAAGGGGAGTTTTGAATGGGTGAGCCATTAAATGCCTTTGGGATATGGGAGGCATTTAATCCTCTCGATAATTCAACATGATATTTTTATCCCTGCTTTACAGAAAAACGTACCTTGAATAGTTATCTACCATCACTCAGAGAGGAATGGGGTTGAGCTGGAATTTGAACCTAAGTCTCTCTGGCTCCGAAGCTTGTGATCTTCTTTCTATGCCAGTATGCATCTTCCATTTTTCACTGGTGAGACTGAGCAGAAGGGGGTTAAGACACGATCCACGGCATTCTCATGCAGTGAGTTCTAAGCCCAGAATAGAAAATACAAGGCAGTACTGAAATGCCTTGGAGAAGAAAAATCAGACTCTGGCAACTCTTAATCCCATTAATCTTAATATCGTTAAATTCTCAACCCAACAATCCCCAGTTAGAAATGTGATTTAGCTGTTGAGAGGAGTGGGTGGAGTTCCAGAAGTAAAAGTATAACTGAGCCAGAGAATCTTAGAACTAGAAGTTACCTTAGAAAGTATTTTGTCCAACTCATTTTTCTGCTTAGAAAACCGACACTCAAAAAAGTTAAGTGCCTTGCCTAATATCACAAAGCTAGGGGTAACATTGGTCTCACTGGGTCACTGCCAACCCCATGCATCACACAGACGGTGGCTTTTCATCCCACTCTAAGAGGATTTCGAGTCAGAATCTTTGAAACTGTATGTCTTTTCTTAGATCATAGTTGCCCACAAGTTAAATCCACTTTGCTTGGGAGCCTTCTCTGCAGTGCCTTTGGCGTTATTGGCATCCACGGGGGCTCTTTTTGCTCAAATTTGCTGATGCTGGCCCTCTTTTGGATCCAGGAACAGCCTCTTTCACAGAAACCATGACCAAAACCTACCCTAAACTTGTGGTCAAATCTCGCCAGAGGCAAGAATCTTCTTCCTGATGGGCCGTTTCCCACAACTTGGTCTCTTGAGAAACTGGAAGTTCAGGTACCTGCTGCCAAGAAAGAAGTCCAAGTGACTGAGCACTAAAGTGTGAGACAGCGGAGGACTAACCACTCACCGACTGGTATTTGGGAGACTGAAAATGCGCTCAGCTCTCCGGGCTTCTTCAGTGAAGTCAGCTCAGCAACTGGATGTTTTCCTGCACCTTCCAGCTTTACGCTTCTCTGGTCAGGAGAAAGGACCTGGGGTGGACTGGCCTAGAGGAGAAACAGAAATGAATTAGAAATGCTTCCTTTTCCACAGCACTTACGATAGGAACAGTCGATCGGGGCATTATCAACATTGGTAAATGTTGTGTGTTAAGCATCCTCTGGCTCGAAGACATCAGCTTTCTAAAATGAGCACTATTAAGGCGAGTGGCTATGTAGGGCCTCATAAATTATGAATTTACTAGTCATGGATGAATACAGCTCACCTTGCAATCAGCAGACAGCTGGTAATTAGAAGCAAATCTTCTTCCGATTCAATTAACCATCTGAAGAAATTGGGTTTTGATTTGGATTTGTTTGAACGCTATAGACCCCTTTAAAACCAGGAAAAGGAATAACAATTCCACAGCACAGAACATCTCTTCCAAATTTACAGTGGAGAGGATCTCTCTATTCTGGGTAAAAATCAATGAATTAAAAGAAAATCACCCACCATGTGCTATTGTTGTGAACAATTGCCATTGATCAGCTCAGGAGGGAGCATGGGGCAAAATAGCTTCCATTTCTGAAATCGGATCTTCCCCACCGTTGGAGACAGCCTCCTGCTCTAACCGGTTTGGGGACCTGAGGTTGGGAGGCCGCCCTGCGGTTACCAGTTACTTAGCGAGTAGGCGGCAGGCCCAAGGTTGACACACAGAGCTCCTAATTTTCTGCCTACAGGACCTGCACCCTCACAGAGGTTGAAGAGTAGGGAAGGAAATTCATGAACACATCTGTATTCGATCCCACGTTCCTGCCTACTGACACGTTAGACAGAAGCACCATGTGTCCTTCCACCTCCAGCCCCACCAAAGCGGGTGCTTTAAGAAAATCTAAGAAATGTGGTCAGCATCCCAGAAGAAAGGTGTTGCCTAGCAGCAGTGACCTTTAAAGAAGGTCAAATAGTTTTTTCCTACAGGTTTTTCAGGATATTTGGAGCCAAGTTTTCTGATGATTTGTCTACACGTAGTCCGAGAATTTACCACCTGCCTTATTTGAAGGAGCCTTGCAATAGTCAGACTCCACAGATAAACGTTAACAATGGCAATAGTTTACTTGGTGCATTGTTTCACGAAGTATGGTACGGGTACCTGTTCAGATACCACAGGCGGTGTGCTAAGGGATTTTAGGTCCTATCGGATGAATATTTGTTATTTTAAAGGTTACATATTTGTTTAAATGTATATTCAATAACACGATCAGCTCACCAACTCAACACTTTAATGAATATAGCTGCTTGAGTTGAAGCTAGGTTTCAAAATGATTTAAATAAAGCCAATCAAAATATTTAAGTAACTAAGAAGACTCAGTACTCAAATGTGGCTGAGGTTTTACGAGTGATAATTTGGGGTTTATTGTGCTCCAGCCGCTTTGCTAAGGGGGTGCTTCTCCTCCGTCCCTTGCTTCATCAGGAGCTCAGGTTAATCACATCTGTAAGTTAGTGGCGCTGAACCTACTTGGGTTCTGTTTTGTTTTCTGAACACTCTCCCCTTTGAGCTAAATCCTCTTGGGACCTGGATTCTGCAGGATCATTGGCAGATGTCTGAGACGCTCCCGCTTTAAACAGGAAGCTTCACACTCTTTCAGCGGTGCGATCGAGCCGCTCATACCAACCCATGCGAGCTGATTATGTGCATCTCTTCCCAATTCTGCCTTCAGAGACAGACTTTGGTAATTTGAAATTGGCTATGGTGAGACTATTTACACTGCAGACGGAGGCAACCACTACAAATTAGGGTTTGATTTGGTTTTTTTCTGGAGAACCAGTTGCTAAACATTTACCAAAATAAAACTGTATTTAGCCTTACTTTTACGTCCACCTGAGGCAAATCACCGGGTCCTTGCACAACCGGAAACGTCCACCTAAACATCTGCTATGAATACGAGAGCGGCAGAATGGGGCCTTCGCAGGGCAGGATCCTTAGGTATTTCCTTTTTAAAAAATCTTCTTGTAATCTAAACATCTACTTTTGTAACATGGCCAAAAATGGACCATTAACTTTTTAAAAGAGCTGCCTGGATTGTATATTTTCCAAATGATACTAGTAAATCAGGCTACTCTCTACTCTCTTATGCTATACACCATTCCCAAAATATTGTACATCTGATTCATAAAAAAACATTAAGCTAATATCAGAATAGGAAAGAAGTGAGGCTGTCACAAGAAGGCTTGAGGGGGAGGGGAATAATGTTGCTAGGCAACCATCCCAGTAGTGGATTCACATGTTATGTATATACGAGAGCCTCAAATTTTTCTCAGCATCAGCTGGCCCTCCTGTTTCTACCCAATCTCCTTGATGTTTCTGTAGCCTGCCAGAAAGTGTTTCTGGGGGTCTTCAAAGCTCAGAGTTCAGAACCCCAGTCGTCAGCGTAATTGGCCATCCTTTGTGGAGATTAGAACTTCAGAACATGTATAGGCATTCTGCTTCCCTCTTAGATTTGTATTTGCTGCCTCCCACTTGACAAATAGTACAATCTCACAAGCATAAAGCTCATTACAGCAGGGCTGGCTAATTCCCGAGTGGGCATTTCATCACTGATTTCAAGCACATACCATTGACTAATGGATCTCACCTTGTTTGTGGGGAGGGCGATCAGATGGCGTTGACTCCAAGCTGCAAAAGTCACAATTCTTACTGCCTCTACTTTTGAGGGAAGTTGGCATCTGCAGGCCCTCCACACTGCACAATTCCAGGGAATACACACTACATTGTCATCTGTGTGATGACGACTCCTAGAGTTGTACATTGCACATAAATTAACAAACCCCTCACAGATGAAGAAGGCAAGGCCCTTAGAGAAGACGACTTCTCCAAGTTGTCAGCCAAGAGCAGAACTAGGATTCCAACCCAGCCCCCTGGATCATAACCTTGCTAAAACTGCCTCCTGTACCTTACTAACAATGTCAACAACAAATAATGATGTCGTCTTACTATACTGGACAGTTACTATATGCCGAGCTCTGCATATTTAATCATTTACATACATTTTCTTATCCACAAGCAAGACGAATGGAATAGGCTATGGGCCTGAGAGGGGCTGGGTCTACAGTACGACTTGACCCTGCCAGGTAATAAGAAGATTTGGCGGAGTTTTAGAAAGTGTAAGTGTGAAGGCAGTAGGACTCAGTGTTTCTCCTTGCTTCACAGCACAGGACAGGCTTCTTTCTCTCTGACTCTTATCCTCTCGCCCCTGAGGAGGTAAGGTGACAACTCAGCCATGATAACTGGTCATGTGTAGTTCCACCCACTGGTTCTCCTTTGCTTCTGCATGCTATAAATCTCACCTGGGCAGGATGCTCATGCAGAGAGAGTCCAGAATGTACAGGAACATATAGATGTGCCTGATTTGGGGCTGCTTGCTGCCATGATGCCTTGCTACCATTGAATTATTTGTTGTGCTGACTGCATAAAAATAAGCCTCTACCTCACCAAGCAATTCCAATTTCCTCTGCCCCAGTCCCAGATGCAACCAGGAAAGACTCAGAAGGAAATCTGGGGGCTGGCCGTGTGATTGGATTCGCACGCTCCGCTTTGGTGGCCCAGGGTTTTGCCGGTTTGGATCCTGGGCGTGGACATGGCATTGCTTGTCGGGCCATGCTGGGGCAGCATCCCACGGGTCACAGCTGGAAGGACCCACAACTAAAAATACACAACAATGTCTTTGGGGTATTTGGGGAAAAAAAGGAAAATAAAATCTTTAACAAAAAAAGAAGGAAATCTGCCTTAACGTTTGGAGGCTAGATTCCATTCCTTCGAGTCTCTATCTGTGTGTCTATCTTCACTCACAGAGCTTCTTCAGTCAGGATTACCTTCAGCTGCATGTACTGGAAGCCCAACTACCGTACCTTAAACAAGTAAAGGTTTTATTTTTCTCATTAAACAGGAAGTCCAGAGGTGGAAAGGCCAGAGCTGATGCAGCAGATTGGGGAAATCATCAAAGACCCAGGATCCCCCTAACTTTCTTCTCCACTGTCCTTTGTATGAAACATTCATCCTTATGGCTGCAAGATGCCATCATGATTGTATTCAGGCAGGAAAAAGGAGGACAGTCAGTGGAGAAAAAGTGCATGCCTGTGGAGTCTTTCTTTTTATCAGAAAAATAATAGCTTTCCAAGAAGCCCTACCAATGGATTTTCAGATTTCTGTCACAATGCTATTGCTAGGGAGCCTGAGAAATCAAGTGATTTGGGGCAGGGGCACATGCCATCCTGAACAAAAGTCAGTTATGTTAGCAAGGAAGAAGGAGAAAATGGATCTTGGGTAGTGTCAGTGGAAGACTGGAAAACATCTCTTAGAGCATGACCTCCACTGAGTCCTTCTACAGAAGTCAGAGTTGTCTCGCCAGGTGGAGTCCTAGTCATGAAACAACCCCTTCACTGGTACTCTTGTCTGATTCAGGGCTCCCTCAAACAAATCAACCCACTGTCTCTCGCCTCTCTATTAGCCTTGGTCAAACCCAGAATATAAGCCTTTTTTAAGCCTAGAGACTCTGACACTGCATTGTGCTCCACCAATGCAAACTCTCCCTCTTTTCTTCCCACCCAAAAATTTGGGCGGCTCCTTATATCCACAACATCCTAACTGATTATTGCCTCCACCTCCACGCCTTCCCTGAGGTTCAGGGTCTTCCATAGCCTTCTTAAGTGTGGGGACTCTTTCTGCTACACCCAGCGAAGCCCGGGGTACTTGCAGACAACTTCTCTCCCACCATTCCAGTGAGACATAAATAGTCTCACACTTCGAGCCCATTCTGGAAGGGCCACGGCTTCTCCAGACCTGCTTGTCCAAATCTTCCGATCTTGCTCTTTCCAAACCCCTGATCACTTGGTCAGAACCACCCTCTGGAAACTGGAGTAGACCCTCGTTACTTCGGATCAGCTCCCCTTCCAGGAAAGCGGACAAAAAGATACGCTGTTTAAAATTCCACCCAGCAGGAAGAGGTCCCTTTCTCAATACCCTCATGCTGAAATGCTTTCATTGCCCACTTCCAGTGGAGGCTGGCAAGCCTCGAAGGAACATCTATGAACAAGATCAAGTTGGGCTTAAAAAAAAACTTCAGTCGTAGGGAGCTCTCCCTGAGGCCACAAGTGTGGGCTGAAGGAAGGACAGAGATGTGGCAGGAGTAGGCACAGTGAAAGTGTGAACCACAGAACCACATTCTATTTGTGTCTTCAGAGCCTCCCCAGGCCTGCTCCTGTAACTGCTTCTTGTGCTTGACGACAGAAGGACTGACTTTGTGGTGGGATGGACCAGATAGCATCCAGTTCATGACCGTGCATTTAGATCAAAGCCCAGTAGCAAGTCAGGAGCTGTTTCTCAAAGGATCCTAGTTACTTGCTTAAGGCAGCGTGACTTTGCTCTAGAATCCTTGGGGTCTTTGTCGTGACTCTCCTGTCAGGACTTGCCACAAGCTTCATGTACATTCTGATCAGCTTTAGATATTCCAGGAACAATGGAATGTTCTGAGTCAAAAGAGAAAACTAGAAGCAGACCCATTGGAGAGTCATATCTTATTCTGGGCTCCATACAAAGCTGACAGCTTTGGGGGCCACTTGGTAAATTGGTCCAAACAGAACACCCCATATCCAGAGGCTCATTATGTACCATGCCTCCTTCTTGGTGGTTGGAGACATTATGTTAAGCAACATGTGTTTCCTATTGAAAAAAATAATAACCTAATATTTCCCAGACCACTGGAACTCCAGAAACTTTATGTAAGCTATTTTGCAATATCTTTGATTCACGTATCTTGCCAGAGGAACTAGAGAGTCTGCTACTTCTCATTCTCCAGGGTCTATCAACATAATGTCACCAACGTAGGCATTAGTGGTCTAGACTGTAGAATGATGATTTGGTTACAATCTTTACGGACTAGATTGCGGCACGGAGTCAGAGAGTTGATATATACCTGAGGCAAAAATGCATTGTTGATGCTGTCGGGTGAAAGCAAAATATTTTGGTCTTCTCCATTTATTGAAACAGATAAAGTACAAGTATATACCAGCTGAATAGCTGCCCGAGTACAAGAGCTTTGTAAATTTGCTCCAATAGTAAAACTGTATGGATGAGCGTCCACAATGGAAATTACCACCTAATTAAATTTACAGTTTACCATTACTATACAGGATCAGCCAGTGTTTTTTTGAATTTGCCAAAATGGGAAGCATACCAGAATGCAATAAAGAACCATTAGACATTCATATTCAAAGATTTGATTGTAACATAATCTCTGAAATTCCCATAGAAATAGAATTTTCTATTTACTTTTCAGTGGATTTGGCCAATTACTTTGATCAGCAAACTACGGTGACATTCTATATCACCGAGAATTCATTTAATCTTGCTGTATAATAGTTTTCCCAATAAAAGAGCCACACCTATTTCAGGGGGACGCCAGAAGGGACTTGTTAGACGTATGTGGTGACATAGCCCAGCCTTTCATCGCAGTACTCAGCTTCACCTGCGTTCAACAGCCTCTAGATTTTTTGACTGACTCACATTGTAAAATTCCTCTTTCCTTCCATGCATGGGCCACCCGTTGATTTCACTCCTGAGGACCCCATAATTTAAAAGCCACAGCCAGAAATTTGTGCATGTCTGATATTTCTTAAATTCTTCACTGCGTGCTTGCCTGCTGCATAATGAAACGACCATGTCCACTCTGCTTCTGATGTCATTTGGACTCGCGCTCAGTTCCTTTCACTCATGCTGAGATCAAGGAGCCTGTTTCAACTGCAGCGTTTTCATCGGTATTTTTTTGTCTCTCAAGAACAGATTGTAAAGCTCTTCTGAAATGTTGTGATGCTTCTCTCATCAAAACGTCTTCTCGGCAAGAGTAAAGGGAGAGTCTTCTCCACGCTCTCTAGAGACATAAGAAGGGGGCAGGCAAGGTGAACGTGACAGATCAGGTCAGTGTTTGTCACAGAAATTCTTGAAATTACCACTCCTGCATTATGATAAGACCCCTGTTGGTCTTTCTGCGTCATTTAGTAAGGGCTCATCCAAGGTTATATGAGTTAGCCCAAAAAATGGGTAGAACCACAGCTGGTTAGTGCTAATCTAGTCCACTTTGTGCTGAATATCTAGGAAGTACACTCATATAAACACTTTGAGTTTCATCCCTGGTGAAACATCCTCAAAATTCATTTCAAAAAATATGTCTAGGGGCCAGCATGCTCCACTTCAGTGGCTTGGGTTTACAGATTTGGATGCCGGGTGGGGACCTACACCGCTCATCAAACCATGCTGTGGTGGCATCCCACATAGAAAAGAGAAGAAGATGGGCACAGATGTTAGCTACGGGACAATCTTCCTCAAGCAAAAAAAAGAGGAAGAGTGGTAATG